TACTGATAAATTATTTTTATTATATTTAAGAACATTAACTACAAGGTTTTTTTCAATATGACTAAATAAATAACTGGCCATCTCTAATTCCTACTATATTTTAAATTATATGTTTTAAATACAAATATTAAGTTTAAATAGTGAAAGTTAAATCAATTTGATGTGATATCTCATCATAGAACCAAATATATAAATTAATATTTGATAATTAATTAATTGTTATATTTATTTGTTCTTTTTATCCTTTTATAATTAATTAATTAATTAAATTTCATAAATTGCTATTCAATATTTTTGAAAAAAAAAATAAATGATATAATAGATTAAAAAGTATAATAATCTCGAAGAAGTAATTATTAATTTTTTTATTAATATCCTTTAAATTTATATAAATTAATAAAAAAAGTTTTTAAGCTCTTCACTTTTATCTCATTAGGTTCTCCATATTGATCTGAAGTATATTTAATTAAAAAATATTATTTTTATTATTATTAATATTTTTTGTATATTTAATTATCAATTTATTTAAATAAACAATTTTTATAAACAAAATTATCATCATTACTTATTGATTTTTGTTAAAACTAAAATTTTTTAGCTATTTTAACTTAATTTTCATTTCAATTTTTAATTAATTATTATTCATTTTTTATCATTTGATATTTTTTCTTCATTTTATGCTATTAAAACTTACACTTAATAAAAGCTATTTATTTGTTTTACATTGTAATATTTTTAATTATAAAAGTTAATTTAAAACATTATAGTTCTTTTAATTTATTTGATTTGTTTTCTTTATTCTTTTTAATATGATTTCTTAATTTTTCATTCTTTGTTAATTTTATTAATTATTAATTAATCTTATCATATTTTTTCTTCATTTATTCCTCCAAATTAACTAGATTGAAATACCTATTTAATATATATCTTAATAACATTATAAATAAAGCTAATTTTTAGAAAGCATAACATATCTTTTTTTTTGAAAAAATAAATTTTGAAAACCTAGGATCTAGGATGGAAAAAAATTCATAAAAAATATTTAAAATTTTAATTTTATAAAATGTAAAAACTGGTATATAAAACTCGCTTTTTGTAAATTTGTATGCTAACTTACTCTATTTAATGATATATTTTTTCTTCAATATTTAAAAAGTTACAATTAAATTGGTGATGAAGGTGCATCAGGCTTAGGTTCTGCTTTAGCAAATTGCATTAATCTCTTAAATTTGACACTTAACCTTGTGTAAAAACAGTTTATTTGTTTTGGATTGTGATATTTTTAATTATAAAAACTAATTAAAAACAATAAAGCTCTTTTTTCTTTTTCTTTTTATTGTGCTTGCTTTTTTTGTTCTTTCTTTCTTTCTTTCTTTCTTTGTTAATTTAGCTCATCATTTTATTTTCAACTTTTGTTTTTATTATTAATTAATTTTATTATTTCATATTTTTTCCTCATTTTTTCCTTCTAATTAACTATTTAATGATATATTTTTTCTTCAATATTTAAAAAGTTACAATTAAATTGGTGCAATGGGTGCATCAGGCTTAGGTTCTGCTTTAGCAAATTGCATTAATCTCTCAAATTTGACACTTCGCCTTGAGTAAAAACAGTTTATTTGTTTTGGATTGTGATATTTTTAATTATAAAAACTAATTAAAAACAATAAAGCTCTTTTTTCTTTTTCTTTTTATTGTGCTTGATTTTTTTGTTTTTTCTTTGTTAATTTAGCTCATCATTTTATATTCAACTTTTGCTTTTATTATTAATTAATCTTATTATTTCATATTTTTTACTCATTTTTTCCTTCTAATTAACTATTTAATGACATATTTTTTCTTCAATATTTAAAAAGTTCTAATTAAATTGGTGATGAAGGCGCATCAGGCTTAGGTTCTGGTTTAGCAAATTGCATTAATCTCTCAAATTTGACACTTTAACTTTGGTAAAAACAGTTTATTTGTTTTGGATTGTGATATTTTTAATTATAAAAACTAATTAAAAACAATAAAGCTCTTTTTTCTTTTTCTTTTTATTGGGCTTGCTTTTTTTTGTTCTTTCTTTCTTTGTTAATTTAGCTCATCATTTATTTTCAACTTATGCTTTTATTATTAATTAATCTTATTTTTTCATATTTTTTCCTCATTTTTTCCTTCTAATTAACTATTTAATGATATATTTTTTCTTCAATATTTAAAAAGTTACAATTAAATTGGTGCAATGGGTGCATTAGGCTTAGGTTGTGCTTTAGGAAATTGCATTAATCTGTCAAATTTGACATTTGGCCTTTCGTAAAAAGAGTTTATTTGTTTTGGATTGTGATATTTTTAATTATAAAAACTAATTAAAAATAATAAAGCTCTTTTTTCTTTTTCTTTTTATTTTACTTGCTTTTTTTTGTTCTTTCTTTCTTTGTTAATTTAGCTCATCATTTTATTTTCAACTTATACTTTTATTATTAATTAATCTTATTATTTCATATTTTTTCCTCATTTTTTCCTTCTAATTAACTATTTAATGATATATTTTTTCTTCAATATTTAAAAAGTTACAATTAAATTAGTGGTGAAGGTGCATCAGGCTTAGGTTCTGGTTTAGCAAATTGCATTAATCTCTCAAATTTGACACTTCGCCTTGAGTAAAAACAGTTTATTTGTTTTAGATTATGATATTTTTAAATATAACTAATTAAAAACAATAAAGCTATATTTTATTTTTCTTTTTATTGTGTTTGCTTTTTTTTGTTCTTTCTTTCTTTGTTAATTTAGCTCATCATTTTATTTTCAATTTTTGCTTTTATTATTAATTAATCTTATTATTTCATATTTTTTACTCATTTTTTCCTTCTAATTAACTATTTAATAATATATTTTTTCTTCAATATTTAAAAAGTTACAATTAAATTGGTGCAAAGGGTGCATCAGGCTTAGGTTCTGGTTTAGCAAATTGCATTAATCTCTCAAATTTGACACTTCGCCTTGAGTAAAAACAGTTTATTTGTTTTGGATTTTGATATTTTTAATTATAAAAACTAATTAAAA